AGGTTAGCGCTCACAGAGCTCAGAGTATTAAGTTAAAAGTTCTCTTTTCTATTGCTGTTGTTCAATAAAAGTATGTTTTAAGATCATAAGAGCGTAATTTTTAAAAAGGTTGTGATGTTGAGAGGACTCCAAGACTTAACTAGCCAGGGCTGATGCGGACGGGCTAACGTTAGCACCAGCAGGTTTAGAAATCCCCTTTGGAACCAGTTTAGACTGTTCAGATCAGCGGAAAGTTGGATGAAAGCGGCTTAGAACCAGCTGACCTTGCTGAGGATGTTGAAGGCCTCGGGGTCGAGGACGAAGACGTCGGCGTTCTCCGTACCGATCACCAAACAGCTGATCCCATCTTCATCAGCGGTGCTCTTCTTCAGGGTCCCGATGCAGGTGATGACGGTCTGCGGACAGAATCCAGCATCAAGACTGGGAATCATCTCTGTGCCAGAAAACCACATTATTGAAGATTACCTGCCGCCTGATTGGCTGCTGCTTATGCAGCTGGACGAACTCGTCCACCTCGTCGGCCGCCAGCGACAGGAAGCGGAGGGAGCGGTCAGACAGTGGCACGTCCGCCTTCTTCCTGACGTCCTCCAGCATCTCCTTCAGCATCACTGGGTCGATTTGGCCCTCCCTCACCTGCTGCCACATGTCCTGACCAATCACAGCACAGCAGCCGGTGACGTCATCAATCAATCATCTTTAGGTCTGCAACTAAAGAGTCTTGTGCAAACCAATAATCTGTCGATCAGTTTTCGATTAATAATTGAATCGCCAAAGGTTCCTTAAAGACCTTTTTACTAAATTAAACCAAGTGAAACTAAAACTTTCTGGATAGAGCATGTTGACTCACAGAAAGGTTTTTTTTTTTAAATCTTAAATGCAAAATGTTCACATATTTTTTTTGCACCTTTGGAATAATTGCTGTTCTAAATGGGTCACTCTGTCAGCTAAAGACACGTTTTAAAATCTCTAAACTCCAGTTAACCCCTGAAGCCCGGAGGGTCTTAGGAGGAAATTCCCCTGAAGTTACATCTGTGAATTAAAGCAAGTTCAGCTCCCATAGTATAAATTGGAAATACAATTGTTTGTATTTGTATGACAGAAATACATTGAGGAATAT